ACCTTGGTGCGATCCGAGTGATCCGTACTTAATGCCAGCTAGCGTAATTCGGGAGAATATGTCTAGTAAATTGTGATAGTTACTCGGGAGAGAATTACGACACTCACCAAGAAGATAAGCTTGAACAATTCCTAACTTATAGATAATAAGATTCTTGTGTTTAACTAATTAACTAACAAATTAAAATAGTAAATTAACAACTAAAGATACTACGGGTTGGAGAAAAGATTAAAGAGGTCTAGAGTTATGATTTCCCCTATTGTCGGAATCCTTTCCGCTACGTTTTCTATAAATTTGCCTAAGTCTTCTTTACCGATCATGTGGGATTCGACTTCGGACTTGTAAACCGGATTATATTTGCAACGCCCGCTTGGTCCTTTTTTTAAGGCATAGTTGGGCGTGATCACTCTCCCAGACTTTCGTAGTATGACTAAACAGCTTGATACCCCGATAATTATTGCAATTTTGGATATCACCCTTGTTTTTGTATACAGGAACCATCGTGCTCCACCTCCACTCTTTGGGCATCTTCTTCGTTCTAAAAATAATATTAAATAACCTAGTGCCACTCTAAGCTCGCCTTGCCCACACTCTTCCAAAACTCCACCGTGATTTCATCCGGCCCAGTCGCTTTAGCCCTGCTCATCTTACGCATAGCACCCTCAACTTCATCAACTCTAATCCTCCTACAATACCCAAAGTCACAATGACTCCCGGAGAGTTCCAAATCACCTAGTACAATGCTCCTGTCCCCTTCCTCGTTCAAGAGACTATGGAAGTAGGCCTGCCATCTCCGACGGATAAGCCCCTCATCCAACAAAACTCTACTTTCTTCGTCCTTGATGCACTTCACTTGGTCCAAGTAACGCACCTTCCTTTCTCGCGCCTTGGCTAACCTGAACAACCCCTTAGCCCCACCTCGGCCCTCGAGTTCCTTATATAGACGACTAAAAGTTGCAGTCTTGGCCGCCGTAACTGCTAGCTTAGCCTCTTTCTTAGACAACTTATAATGCTCCCTATTCGCCTTCTTCTCCTCCTCGTCTACACTTTTCACTAGCTTCAGATATGCTCTTGCACCTCTCCATTCCACCACCAGTCTCCCTTGTGACCACCAGAGTAACCGTGAGACCCCTGATACCACTCTCGCGGCTTCCCTAATGCACTGTGCAGTCATGGTCTACATATCGCTTGCGTCCCCACTACTCCTCCAAGCTCCCATAGTCACCAGCTTGACCCCCAACTCATGCGCTTTAGCTTCCGTAAAGGCTCCCCACTTTATCCTATGTTGGCTCCTCCTCTTCCTCATGATCTCAAGGTCTATGACCAGGAGCCTATGAAGGGTCGAGAGGTTCTCACTCGGGATGACCTTGCAATCTGTGCAAAGACCTCTATCGGACTTTCTACAGAGTACATAATCAATCTGAGTTTGGGGCACCGAACTCCGGAAGGTGACCAAATGCTCCCTCTTCTTCGGAAAACTCGAGTTTGTTATCACCAAATCAAATGCTCTAGTAAAGTCCAGCAGAGACGTTCCTCCTTCTTTTCTATCTCCAAAACCAAAGCCACCATTCACATCATCATACCCCCTAGACGTCGCTCCAATGTGGCTGTTGAAATCTCCTCCTATGAAAAGCTTCCCGGTGTGCGGGATACCACGCACCATCTCATCTAAGTCCTCCTAGAAACTCCTCTTGACTTCCTCATCCAAGCTTGCTTGGGGTGCGTACGTACTGATTATGTTCAAAGTAAAACCTCCAACAATTAGCTTAATAGTCATCAACCTTTCATTCACACTCCTAACCTCCACCATTAGTTTACGGAGATTGTTATCAACCAAGATACCTACCCCGTTCCTGCCCCCACCCTCCCAGAGTACCAAAGTTTGAAACTGCCCACATCCCGCGCCTTATCTCCTACCCACCTAGTCTCCTGTACACAAGCTATATTAACCTTCCTTTTCTCAAGAATCTTCGCTAGCTCTACAAATTTTCCAGTCAAAGTTCATATGTTCTTGTTGTACTATCTATTAAAAGACATTCAATTAAATTGTACTAGGAATAACAATAGTGTTGGATATCTATTTTTTTAGTTTTTCCATGGTTTAGATAAAATGCACGACTTATTTTTTTATAGTGTTTTGTCATGTAAAAATAGTACTTGTTACTTGTACTTATTTTAGCAACTTAGTAATTTTAGATTATGTTTATTTTCATTATGACTTATTAATAATATTTGTTTTATGCGATTTTATTATCTTTATTGTTGAATATTTTCGTACAATGCCATAGCTCATCTAATATTTTATGTTATTTTCTTGAAAAACACCTTATATAGCTATGTCTTACTATAATAGTATTTATAGTAAGAAGTATAGTCCCAAGCTATAGTAGTATTTATTATACAGTTGTCGAGACATTTCAAACGGAAAACAAATTCTCCCTAGGTTACAATTTATGTGATGTGGTTTCAGGTTTGACTCGGCATGGAGTTTAAAAAAAGAAAACTTTTGAAACTTGTAGTCTTAAACATGTCATAGTATTTGCGTGACTATAAAACATTTGAAACTTGTGATCAACATTTCTGTTTGTGCTAGCAAATGGTATAAGAGTTCAATATTCCATTGGTGAATTCCCTCATGGAATTTGACGAGGATGCGTTTGGTACGAGGAAAAATGACTTTCAGAAAAAAAAATTTCTATGAGTAAGTCATTTTATGGTATTGGTATGACGGACATCATTTTTATGGTATTTTCCATCAAAAGGAGGAAAATGGTTTCAATTATGTAAAAGTTGGAGAATATGAGAATCTGTGGAAAAATTATTAAAACTTTTTAATAAGTCTTCTTGTTTTAAGACATTTTTAATCCTTATTGAGAAAAGGAAAACATAAAGTTTCTTTAAATTCATTATTATTGTTTGTCTTTTTTTTTAAACCTTTAGATCTCCTCCAAAATGAAGGAAAAAAGAAAACTGGATAAGGCAAAGTTTGGAAAATCAAACTCGTGAGTGGTGACTTCTCGTTGGCAATAGTCAGCGACAACTTGTTTGTCAAGGTCATTCTAAATTTTTCTTTGAAATACATTAAAAAATTGTATCTGATAATATTAATTAAAAATTTCTTATAAAAGAACTACTCTATCCGTTTTAATTTAGATATTATAGTTTGACTTGACACAAAGTTTAAGGAAAAAAAGAAGACTTTTGAAACATGTTGTCCTAAAAGCTTAATGGCTAAAAGCTTTGTGGGGTCATGCATTTGTGTGGCTATAACAGCTTCTCATATAAATCTACCCCCCCCCCCCGTTCCCCTTTAAAATCATCCGCCTTGCATCCCCCACCCCACCCTTCTCCCCGAGTATATGCTTCAATAGGAAAATGAAGTTGATTCAAATAAAGATTTCTCTGGTACCCTATGTGAACATAAGGACAAAAGAAAGATACCAAAGCAATATTGTATCAGGCTGCCTGTCTTTCTATAGTTAGATCTCCAAATTTTGGAATGCTCCAAATTTGACTTTCAGCATCTAAATCTAGGTCAATACTAGGAAAAGGAACCCTTGACACAAATATAGATTACTTCTTAAATTTTATGTACCAATTCTTGAACTAAGTTGCTTCGACACGACAGTTTAGGTGCCGCAACCGTATCGACATGATATTAGTATGGGTGTGGGTATGGAATCTGTACCGGATTTGGTCAAACAATTTTGAGTATTTTGATCCCGACTGACAGAAAAATTCGAGACAAAATACAATTTGATTCTAGAAATAAGAACCAAAACCAGGGTAAATTTGAAGAAAATAGTATACCTTAGCTAGGAAATCAATCCTTTACTTATCTACAACTTGAGAATAAAAAAGAAATCCACACTTTACAAGCTATATGTAAGTATTCCACAAAATTTCTCATAATTTAGAGATTTTTTTATTTATTTTTTTTATTTTTTTGAATTATCTTTAGTCGGATCCCCACACTCATCCATACTAGGATCCGTATCTCCGAATCTTAGAGTTTTCATTTCGAAGGATCCGCACCCGAGTCGGACACCCCACCCATATCAGAGCAACTTAGTTTTTGAATGCCCGTTATGTTGGAAATATTCATGTGGGACTTCATCTGATTTTACAAGTGTGATACATATTCCTTCTATTTCTCCAAGTAAAGCTCTTCGTATCGCAATACCTATTGTGTCAGCCTGGCCTTTCATACGTGGAGACAGAATAAAGCGTCCGTAATAAAAACGTTTACTGTCAGTTCTTGATTCAACACATTTTCACTGTAGATGCAGAGGCGCATAATAGATCGATATGAACATCATGAGCTGTCCCGTAATAAAACCAGTTGTTGCTCTCTCGAACCATAGTACTATTATTCACACTCATTTCAGATCCTTCAAAACTAAATATCTTTTGAAAGATCCAACACACGTCCACCGACGTCTTTGAATGATTCGAGCAACATAGCTTGGGTTCCTCAAAATGTGCCACTGTGGCAGTGCAAATGATCAAGCCTTTTTTTTTTCTACAAACATTTAATGTCACAACTTGTCTTTAGTTTATTTCTCTATAACAATTAAACGTCAATCTCAAACACGTTGAAATTGACTATATAATCCTCAACATCCATTTGGTTTCATTCCATCTATTTCATAAATTACTTAACTAACTTGGGATTTTAAACACAAGTTCTCCATATTTTCTACTCATATAAACCTTTAAACAGAATGAAAAACAAAAATACACTCTCAACAGAACCCAGATTGTATCAATATAATTAAGCCTCAATCTCAACTAGTTGACCTAGATCTATCCTGTCCCTTTTAACACATTGAAAACAGTTTGACAGCCTCAAAATTACAATTTCCTAGTCCCATCAACTTCTGTGTTGATCACCTGTAAGTTGTAAGCATAAGCTTAACAAAGGGAAAACAAATTGTTCCGACCTAGGATAATAAGCTCATGAGCTTGGCCTTACTTCACCATCGAGAAAGAAAAGAAAATTGTGGTCAAATGCAAATCAATGAGTCAACTTTCAGTTTGAATCAAGGTCTCAAATACACGATGAAATCGCCCCAACCCCCACAAGATCACAGTTCTGGCCTATGCCTTATGGAAACAACACTTTGCTTTCTTGTTCACATGACTGGAGTTCATCTCGCTTCTATACACATCTCTCCATTCTACATCTCCTGACACTTGAAATGGTGCACAACAATTTATGCGACAAAGGAAATTGCACAACATAAGAAATTTACAGCCAAATCAACTACTAACTCCTATGCTACTGGTTTACAAAGTTAAAGCCAGAGCCATCTTGAAGCCAAGTAAACATACCCGAACCAGCACGCAAAGTGCTCAGATTATTGTATCAAGGTATGTGTAGTTGTGCCGTCGTCCAAACTCCAGAAGGCTACCATATGTGCGATCCCAAACTCCAACGAAAAGGGACTCTGTATCAGGACTAAAAGACAGACCTGATATCTCACCAAAGAAATCAATTTCTTGCTCCTGCTCATACCCACTTTTTACATCAAAAACATGAACGAAATCTGCAGGTTCTGCCATAGCCATATATCTGCCATCAGATGTGTAGCGGATTGACCGAATAGCTCCGAGGTTACCCTTCAAAGCAACAACTGATTTCGACAAGTTCCGTATGTCCCATACTCTGCAGGTTTTATCCTGATTCCCAGTTGCAAAAGTCAGGCCGTCAGGATGCCATGCTGACGCAAACGAGAAGTCACCATGTCCGCACAAAGGTGAAACAATCTGTAAGCATTAAATTTGATTACTGACTGGAGCATCAGATATTGAACAATTCTGATAAATTGAATCATGGGAGGACATAAATGCACAAGTACCTTTGCATTTCTGGAATCGACCAATAAACCGTCGGGATTATCTCCAACTATTGCGAGAAGCTTACCGTCAGGGCTCAGTGATGCATGCTGCAAGCATAAAATGGGGAAACAAAGTAAGTAACACCTTATTATGGAAATAAGAATAAAAGGAAAAAAGAAGTTAATACCACCAAGTTGTATGAAGATAAGACTTGTGTTAATCAATATAAGATGAGTGATTAGAATAATATCTGTATGCAAAACCCCTAGATTGAAACTATTGAAGAATGAGAATGAGAAAGGTATTTTTTTATTTCAACCTAAGCTATTCATAAATAATAAATTTATTTTGAAAACAATAAAAACTAGCAAATTATCAGTACTAGTGCTGCATGACTAATGGCATGCACTAGTAGCACATAATTAGTAAACCTTCTTGGTATACATCCACTATGACATATACATTTTGGGGCATGTGTGCACCCATAAACACATGCAGTACAGACTTACATTCACTGGCCAGGGAAAACGGAAATGCTTGGACAGTTGAAATTTCTCCATATCGAAATCTCTAACTCCAGAGTCGTTATTTGAAGCTATAAAATGAAGTGCGCCACTGAGGAGCAAAAGATATCTCGTTAACTTCATTCTCACTAAGAAATAGCATGTTTCAGGAGTATGCAGGTTAAACATAATACCTGGCAGTGTTATAAATCTCAACAGCATTAGTAATTGCATTGTCGTCATATGTTGTCCGGGAACAGAAGCAAACTCCGGGCCTGTCTAAATACTGCATATAGTTTCAAGAACAATTAGAGACTAGGGAAATAGTTACACTTTCTGAAGGTGAAGATAAAACTGCAAACTCAGCACCATGACCCAAACGTACATGCTCCAGCTGTTGATGCCCAAAAAAGCAAGGAGTAAAAAGGTCCAAATCAATCATACCTTGCAAATAAGTTCTCCTTGAAATCCCCCAGCAACAAGCAACTTGTCTTTCACCGTAAGAGTGCTGACTTGAGTCTGTGTAAATCCTTCTAAAAGGCTCCCAGGATGCTTCTATAATGCCAAAATAAAAAGAAAAAGGTCATAACCAAGTATGCCTAAAACAACCAGTGGATTCCACGTTCAGAACACCTACCTCACATGGTGCTACGTGCCCTGATACATTCAGAACTTCAGTTTTGCTGCAGGTCAAGGATGACCAGTGAATGACGGAAAAATGTGACATAAGGTATACATCATGCTTGGAGGTTGCCCACACCAAGTTCCTCAGCTACATCATGAAACAAAAAAAAAAAGAAAAAGAAAGCTTCAGATTTATTGTGACAAAATCTTAAGTTAACTTGCCTAAAAGAATAAAATAATTCACATTGACATGCACAATTCTATATCAGCAAATACAGATCATATGGTTTATCCAAGTCACTTGGTTTTACATTCAACCTAGTTCATTCACTCCATAATAATGTCGTCTTCCTCAAACATATTCTTAATCTAGTTCCTTCCATACGATGTAAATAACCAATAGTAAAGAAAAAGGTAAAGAAGGCTAGAATAATTACCTGGAAGTGTAAAATTGTTGATTTAACAGATCTTGAATTGCGTCTGAAGTCATAGTACGAAGCCTCTTTGTTTGTGGCTTTGCAGTCCTGTTGAAAGCAAATGGATAGAGCCACCCATGACCCCATTAGACACAAACGTCCTCACTCAGACCAATTAGAAAACCAAAAGAAAAACACATTTATTTTACCTTCTCTGATGCCTCCCCAGATTGCGGAACATTTTCATAGTTCTTATATTGCTCTAATCTCGTTTGCCTGTATTTCTCCCTGGTTATGCTAAGCCTTTCCCAGGGAATCCCTTGAATGTCTCTACCTCTCCTTGCCTCAGCAGCAGAGGTATCTTGCATTTTATTATTCTTCAAGAAGAAAACAATTTAATAGGTTCAGATACTGAAAGCACAATCATCCAAACAAAATGAATACATCTAATATGCCCTTGTACAAAACAACTAAGCTTTTATCGATGAGTTCACAAACCATGTAGTCATACTCATCTGCATCTGAATCAGAGGCATCAATATCTCTGCCATGGAACTCATCATCCATATCATCATCGATAGCTTCCATTTCATATTCATTTGCCATGTAATCAGCATCATCCTCTTGTTGATGGGACATGTTTTACCCCTACTAAATTACCTACAAACTACAAAGGTTAACCACAAAAGTTAACTACATTCAAGAAATGAGACAGTGTATGTTAAACAAATTTCCAAGTCAAATATGGGACAAGATACTCATAAAGCACCTCAATACTAAAGCACCACATCCATATAGAGAAAGACCAAGTTATCGTTGGCCTTTGAACACTATGTCAATCCATAAATGCATTCAGACCCAAAACAAAATGATTAGATATAATATTTTAAGCAGCAAAGCACATAAACATGCATCATACATCATCTTCTCCTCTATCTAGGGTTCTACAAAGCCAGCTCCTTATCATATCAAAGATTCCACCCACAGGGATAGACAACAAAAAAGGCAAGCATCAGAAACACGAATACTTGCCTGGATCTGCATAGAGATCATGTCAAATGAGCACACTAACAATCCCTGAAGTAAAATTTTGAAAAAGAGAAGAATACTTGTAGCCTAAACTATAGTCAGTAACTTAATTACAATACCTGAAGAAATTCACGATTTCAACTTCCTCGTAGATTTTATCTTTTTGAATAAGGAAAACTTCCTCAATTAATAATAGTTAGGACTCACACTGTAAAAAGCAAGTAACAGCCTACAACATGACTTTAGACAAAAAAGCTATCCCCCCTACATATTTAACCAGCACAAATTCAAAACTCAGGAAAGACCGAAACTTGAAAACTGTGGTGTATGCAACCAGTGACTGACGTAAGTAGAGGGAAGGGGGTTCAACTGAATCCTCTTCGTCAAAAAATCGCAAATAGGATAAAAATCAATTTTTTTGGTTATGTATAAACTATTGAATCACCTTGACATGAAGAAAAACTCTAGTATAGTCGTAAAGGGGGTTCAAAAGTTGCAGTAGGTCATAGGTTCAAATTCTAATTATGACATTCTAGATTTTTTTTTGAATCCCGTTGTATAAATTCCTAGCTCTGCCACTGTATGCAACACCATATCTAACTTTAGACACACACATATGCGAGCGCAAACACGTATAGATTCACAAACCTAGGATATACGACCAAAGGGAGGACCTTTTCTAACTTACTGAATTAAATGCTGACCAAAATAAAATAAAAAATTTAGGCGCAACCTGCATACTGTGTATGCAATCAGTAGCGGAACTAAGTAGACGGAATGGGGTTCAACTGAGTCCCCTTCATCGAAAGATTATACAGCGCCAAATAGGATAAAAATCAATTTTTCTGGTTATATGTAAACTATGGAATCCCCTTGACATGAAGAAAAATGCTAGTATAGTGAAAAAGGGGGTTCAAGAGTTGCGATAGGTTATAGGTTCATATTCTAATTATGACATTCTATATTTTCTTCGAATCCCCTTATATAAATTCCTAGCTCCTCCACTGTATGCAACATCATATCTAACTTATAGACACACGCACACGCGGACACACGTATAGATTCACAAACCTAGAATATACCACCAATCGAAGGACCTTTTCTAACTTACAGAAATAAATGCTGACCAAATTAAAAGAAAAAAAATTAGGTTCAACCTACATATCAAAACTTTGCGAATTCAACAAATTGACAGCATATATACTAGCAAAAATCCAGCATGGAAGATCATTAACCACAATAATACCATAAATTCCAAAATTGAAAAAAAACACAAAAAGTCAAACTCTAAAACATCAGAGATAATACAAAAACATTAATCATACATAATTAACGCGGAACAGAAGGAGAACAATGATTTTTTAACAAAAATTTCTGACCTTTGGGCGCAAAAGGGAACAATTGATCGAGGTTCCTTTGATCTCGATCTAGAGATTTGATAATCAGAAGAGGATAATTAACACATGAAAATTTGATTGATTTGGTTAATTACGAAAATAACTGCAGCTGTTTTAGGATTGTAGATCCAAACAGAGATGTGGGGAAAAGGTTAATTTCTTTGTTCTTCTTCAAACGACATTTTCTACTCCAAATATGGAATGGAATGAAAAGGATAACCTTTGGTTGTAGGGGTATTCTTGAAAATAAATTATATACCACATGGAACTGAAAATGACTTAAATAATCAATTTTAATAAATTGATGTAATCTTATAGACAAAAAGAAAATGTAATCTTCAATCTAATTAATGTAATAAAAAATTATAGGAAAAATCATAATATTAGATGGGAGAATCATCACCATTTAAGTTTTGATCTCGATAAAAAAATCTTGGAAAAATAATCTTTAGTAAGAAATTCGTGGGTAAGTCTTGAAAATTTTGAGGGTTGTCATAATTTTATAAATTATGATCATCACAAAATTCTAAAGGTTGTCATATTTTTGTGTAATTGATTATAAAATTCTAACCAGTGTGCTTTAAAATTCTACGAGGGTTATTTTCTAGAAGTTTCTTAACGGGATCAAAATATAAATAGTAGTTTAGAAAAAAGGTCCATTTGGTATTATCCATATCTATATACAATATATAATATATAATATGTAATATAATAAAAGGAGAGGCAAAGATACCATATTAAGCTAAGTGGCAGTATAATAAAAAGTCACTTGGCAATTTAGGACAAAATTAGTTAGGTGAGGTAATAATCAACTTTTTTGAATCAAAAAATATTAAATTGTGCATTATGTGTTGTTAATAATTAGTTACTATTTTTGAATTTGAACTTATACATACTTAACTATTTTTTAACGGGAAACAATAATTTTTATATATTGAGAATTATTTGTTCTAATTAACTAAATATTAAATCGAGAATGTGTGTGCAAAAAGGTAGCTTTCTCTCTCTAGAGTCAGATAGGGTGCTCTAACTACGCCGGTGACAGGAAATGCCTAAAGGAAGGCCGTCAAAGAATAGGAATAGGAACCAGGCGATGGAGAAGCTTCGACTAGTAGCTAATATTGTTTCTTCGACTGGTAACTGAAGAGAATAAAATAGAATAATTTTGGAAATTTTCTGTGTGTTTATTTCTCTACACAGTGTAATGTATATATACAAAAGAATAGAATCTAGTCTAAACATTGCCAAGTGGCAGTATCTTACTAGTCTACTCCTAACAACTATTGTAACAAACTAAGAAATATTTACAAAAGAATAATTCTATCTACTGTGCAGATTATCTCTTTGTATCTTCTGGGTTCTTCTAGAATGGGCCAATAAAGTCGGCTGAAGCTTTAAGGCCCATTTGTTGTAAACTAAGTCCAAATGCCTTGACTCGTTCTTGTAAGTTATACACCCCTTCTCAGACACAAATCAAACATAAGAAAAACCTAGCCGACTTTGTGTCACGACCCAAAACCAAACTGTCGTGATGACGCCTATCGTGGAACTAGGCAAGCCAATTACTTAACCATTTCAATACAACAAAAGCTTTGAAAAAAAATACGGAAGCAGTTAAATTTAAGGAAAACCTTTCAAAAGCAGAATAAAATTCGTAACTCAATACAAATCTCTCCCAAAATCGGGGTGTCACTGAGTACATGAGCATCTATACAGGGATATAGTCTAATACAACGTCTAGAGAATAAAGACCGAAACATAAATGAAGATAGGGAGGAAGAGTCAAGGTCTGCGAACGCCATGCAGCTACCTCGATAATCTACAAAGACCCTGACTCCACAGCTCAGCAGCCGCCGTGATCGGAAGCACCTGGATATGTACACGAAGTGCAGGGTGTAGCGTGAGTACAACCAACTCACTAAGTAACAAATATAACTTTTGGACTAAAAGTAGTGACGAACTCAACTGGTAAAGTTCAACACCGAAATAACAGTACAAAAACGTCGACATGCTTTGAAGTTCAACAGTTAAACTCAATACAGTAAGATAGGTAAATTCTAAATAATGTGAAGAATATAACTTCTCTACTTCTACATGCCAATGCACATGTTGTATGTGATGTACCATGCTGAAAGCCTCGTATGCTCACACCCTCGGAATGCTCAATCGCTCAGTACTGTATATGGCAAATCCGACCCAGGGAAGATCCATCCTGGAATATATACATCAACTGACCATCAGTCACTTAGTAATGGGTAGGGCCAATCCAGCTCGTGAAGAAGATCCATCCCCATGTATAAATGCTTCGGACAAGATCCATGTCCAGGGAAGATCCATCCCTCAATATATATCAACCGCGCTCACTGGGGGTGTGTGCAGACTCCGGAGGAGCTCCTTAAGCCCAAGCGCTATCATAAATCAGTAAAACCTGCTGCAGCGTGCAGCCCGATCCCGTAAATATCGCTCATAATCAGGCCCTCGGTCTCACTCAGTCATCAATCTCTCCAGTCTCTCTCTCACGGGCTCACAATGTCATGAAACTAGCCCGAAATGATGATATGATGTATCAATAAATAGCAACAGAGATTGAGATATGATTTGTAATGAAAGAATATGATTGAGTACGAAATTTCAACGAAATTAATAAGTCAACAGTAAGAAATGACCACTATGGGTCCCAACAATATCAACATATAGCCTAGACATGATCTCTAGCATGATTGACAGCTCAATTCCTTTATCACATGATGAAAATACGGATATCAACAAGATAAATTCACTATAAAGTCCCATGGAATCGACTAAGTCACAATTTCTGCGATGCACGCCCGCATACCCGTCACTTGGCATGTCCATCACCTCAACACCAAACATATAACACATAATTCGGGGTTTCGAACCCTCAGGGCCAAGTTTAGAAGTGTTACTTACCTCAATCCGAGCAAATCTCTACTCCAATACACCTTTGCCTCGCAAATCGGCCTCCAAATGACTCGAATCTAGCCATAAACAATGCGATACAATCAACACGAATGAAAGGAATCAATTCTATAAGGAGATACTAAGTTATAAATCGAAAGTCAAAAATCAACCTGGCCCACGTCTCGAAATCCGACAAAAGTCACAAAACCTGAAAGCCCATTCAACCACGAGTCCAACCATACCAATTTTACCAAAATCCGACACCAAATCGTCACCCAAAACCCCAAATCAAACTCTCCAAATCCCTAGCCTCAAACCCCAAAATTTCACCTTAAATACACACAAACTAGGTGGGAAAATCAATGGGGAAACAAGATTATTGATCAAAAACGAGCACAAGGGACTTACCTCAAGAATACCCACGAATAGTTCTCTCAAGAATCGCCAAAACCCGAGCTCAAAATGTTAAAATGATGCCAAAATCGTGAACCCTTGTATTTAAACATCCTGCCCAGCACTTCTGCTTCTGCGAAAACTTAACCGTTTCTCCAGCGTTGCAGAAGCGACCTCTCAACCGCATCTGCGGCTCCATCCGCTCCTGCGGTCCCTCATTACACTACTGCGGACTCGCTTATGCGAGCAACTAATCGGCTTTTGCAAAACCAGCTCCGCTCTCAACTTCTGCTTCTGCGCAACTCTCCCCGCACATGTGAGCTCGCACTTGCGATCAAAGCTCCGCAGATGCGGTTACACCAGCAGAGTTCCAACTTCAGCAGTCTTTAAGCTTTAAACCTTGATCTGAAAACCATCCAAAATCACCCGGAGCCCCCCTACCCCCCCCCCCCCCCCGGGACCTCAACCAAACATACCAACAAGTCTTAAGACATCATACGAACTTAGTCGAGCCTTCAAATCACATCAAACAACACTAAAAATATGAATCGCACCCCAATTCAGGCCTATTGAAACTAAGAAATTTCAACTTTTACAAACGCCAAAAACCTATCAAATCACGTCCGAATGACCTCAATTTTGCACAAAAGTCACAAATGACATTACGGACCTACTCCAACTTTCAGAACTCTAATCCGACCTGGTACCAAAATAGTCCACTTGCGGTCAAACTTCCAAAAATTTAACTTTCGCCATTTCGAGCCTAATTCAACTATAGAGCTCCAAATCAAAATCTGGACACGTTCCTAAGTCTAAAATCACCCAACGGAGCTAATGGAACCGTGAAAACTCCATTCTAGAGTCGTTTACACCTAAGTCAACATCCAGTCAACCTTTTCAACTTAAGCTTCCAACTTTGAGACTAAGTGTCTCAATTTATTTTAAAATCCCTTCGGACCCGAACCGACTAACCCGTCAAGTCATATAATAACTGTAAAGCACAAAATGAGTAGTAAATAGGGGAACAGGGCTACAACTCTCAAAACGACCGGCCGAGTCGTTACACTTTTGTCTCTCTTATCTCTCTTCACATTTTCATCGGAAAATTCGAGAAGACCTTCATTTTCATTTCTAACACCAACACCCCCCTCAAGTTGAAAGGGGATGAAAGGACACACAACTTGCCCAAAAAGATTGTGATAATTCGGCCCTATGAGAGACTTTGTGAACAGATCTGCGAGCTGAGAAGAGGAGCAAACACAGGAGAGTGAAATCAACCCGGTGAGATACTATTGTCTTACGAAATGACAGTCTAGTCTTACATGTTTAGGTCTTTCATGGAAAGTAGGGTTTTTCATGATATGGATAGCTTCTTGAATGTCCGAATGAAGAGGAACAGGAAGTGAAATTGGGATTGAAAGATCATTAAATAGACGTACCAACTAAGTGAGCTCAGCTACAATGCATCACATTGAACGATATTCGGCCTCAGTAGAGCTTAGAGAAATGGATGTCTGCTTTTTGGATTTCCATGAAATTGGAGATGAACCAAGAGAAATGTAGAAACCACTGACAAATTTGAGCGAATTTGGACAAGTGGCCCAGTCGGAATCACAAAATGCAAGGAGTTGATGTGAAGGAGATGAAGACATGAAAAGCCCAAATCTAGGATCCTTCAATAAATAGCGAAGGACACGAAGTGCAGCATTGAGATGGGACTGTCTAGGATCTTGCATGTATTGGCTAAGGTGCTGTACAGTGAGCGATAAATATGGCCTTGTATGTGTCAAATAATTCAGCTTGCCCAACAAATGGCGATACAAGGTCGGATCTGGAATAGGGTCACCAGACTGAGCAAATAGGCGAACAGAAGGGTCAAGTAGACAAGAAACATGCGTCTTGTGGAGAGAATCATACTCCTATAG